AAAGAAAAAAAATGAATATTTACAATTAGTTTTTAGTTTTAGTAGGAGTTTTACAGCACTTGCAACACAATAAGGTTATATAAGTGCCGATTATTAGAGGTGTTACAAGAAAGAAATAAACACAAAAAAGAAGGAGGGGGGGGATAGAGACAATAGATTTTTCATAGGAAAGAAGGAGCAAACCACACCAGAGCACCCGCCAACCAGCAACAAATATGTACAATGAGTACATGATTGGGAGAAGGGCTGAAGAGAGCATGAAGAGGTTCAGAGAGTACATACTGAGGGACACAGAAAAAATGTGAACAAGTCCAACGAAAACATGTGGCAAAAGAGAAAGACCACAGTAAACAATAACATTCTCAATGACAACCTACTGTGACAGAGTGACAACCCAGAAGAAGAGAACATTTTCAGAAAGTTAACTTTTCTGGAAGCATCGTCATTTTGCCCTTTTTCCTGGCAGAGGGGCACCCACAGGCCAGACACTTTTTCAGAAAAAAAAAAAAAAACCAGGTGCTATTTCACATAAATATAATCATATCGAGAACACAGCAAACATTTATATTGAAAGGGTCTATTCATCAGAAATGGGTCAACTTTTGCCACAGACATGAAAAAAATAGTATCAAACGACAGAGCACAGGCAAGACACAAGATATCAATGATGCACTGAGGATTGGCACTGAACCAGTTGAGCCTCCGACATGTAATATACTAGCTGGGCCCCTTTTCCATGAAAGGAATGATCGGTGCATTGACATCAACTGAAAGTCATTGGCCTACTATATTTACACTCTACTGGAAAGGGGCAATAAATCTTGAGAGATGCAAAAAATGAGAAGGTCTAGATCTACACTCTCAAAACAAAATGCGCCTCGCGAAATATCACTTTCGGATTTTCTAAAATTACAGAGACAGAAGCGTCGGCCTACAAAAGCGATCGGCGAAATAAAGAAATTTAGCTTTTTGCAGCAAAACTGTCTCAAAACTGAAAAAATCAAGGGCGTCATGATCTGGAGAATGTTTTAAAGAATATTTTGGCGATAACCGCATGCCGATCGATGCAGCCATTAAAAAGCCTTTTGAATAGCAAAATTCGGCAACCACAAATAGATAATAGATACCCCAACTAATAAGGAAAAAAAATCCTGAACTGGTAAGACCCTGTGGAAACTCGCAAGTGAGGACTCAAAAGTTACAAATCATATCGTCTCATACATCTTGTATCAAGACTATTTTTACTTGAAATGCAAAATGCAGACAATGTTAGAAATCCGGATTCCGAATTTATCCCGAAAATGATCCCTTCTTGCTGAGACTTACAGCAGTGTATCTGTAGTGACATCAAGGACCAGCTTCCATACATAGCGTCTCCTCAATAAAACAACCCTTTTAGCTAAAAATCATATAAAATCCTCGTACTCTCACCAATAAAAAATATAATAGAAGCAAGAGAAAGATGGCTTCTTAACACTTTGCTGCCTCATCTCGCCGATTGGTGATGTTTACCACCCAGTTTCTTTGGCTTTTCCCCAAAGTATAATGGCAAAGTGTTAAGGGACGGTTACTATTTCAAGGAAGGAAAATAAATCAAATGAAGTAGTGCTGAAAGAAGCGTATATAGGCTGCTCACTGGTAAGACAAATTAAGAAGAGATTAATGCAGTTTTTTTTAGAGCATCTGAGCTAAAATATGAATGGTGAACCATGATTGCTGATGTCTTTTAGTTTTAGTAGGAGTTTTACGGCACTTGCAACACAATAAGATCATACAAGTGCCGAAGAATAGATTACGTGTTACAAGAGAGTAACATACACAAAAAAGAAGGAGGGGAGATGAGGACGACAGATGTTTGATAGGAAGGAAGGAGCACCCACCGCAAACCAAAGAGATTAATGCATTTAAAAAAAAATAATTTTTGAGCATTTCAGCTAAAATGTGAATAGTGAACCATGATTGCTGATGTCTGTTTGATTATTATTTTATTATCGTAGAGGGTTTTACTGCACTTGCAACTGCATAAGGTCATATGAGCGCCAAGGGGTGGGTGTCAACAGAGAAGTCTTTACAGGGAATCAGACTTACTCTGCTCACCTCTCTAGCTTCAACAGCACACGGTCTGCTTCGACTATCAAGGCACCCCGGAAATAGCAGGTCACAAAAGTGTGACAAACATACAAAAAAAGTAGAGGAAAATGACAATAGTAAGGATTGGGAAAGAAAAAGCAGCAGTTCCCTGTTGTAGATCAGGCACAGTTATGAGCGTGACATGAATCAGCCCATTTACAATTCTACTGTGCTTGAACGAGAAATGTCCCCCCTTTGGGAATGGCCTAAAGACACTACAGTCAGTGGCACTGCCCCGTGGGATGTCTGTTTGAGATGAAGCACTACATGACGATGACTCTCACCTGCTTGTGGACATCGCCCTGTCCAAAGTCTCCCCAGTCCTCCCATGAGACTATGCCCTGCTCGTTCTCCTCGTAGAACCGAACCTTGATGTCCTCTGGAACACACACAACGGGTCATAGGTCACGACATGCTGGGATGTCACACACACACACACCAACACGCAAACACACAAACATTGATTATGTCGCCCAGAGTAGCAACACACACACACAGACACCAACACACAAATATTGTATACCACCCAGAGTAGCAACACACACACACACACACACACACATTCACACACACGCACACACACATATTGTATCACCCATGCTATCATCGAACATTGTACATATGCCCATTACAACTCAAGACACACACACACACACATACACAGACACGAACACTGTACATCCTCTGCACAACTCAGGTCACACACACACTCACACACTAGGGCTGGGAAGGTATCGGTACCCAGAACCAGAACTTCCCATGCTACTGCACACAGTGTCAGTACCAACACCAGGCCTCCATACCCTAATTCAGTACTAAGACAGAGTAAGACAGACAGTTTTAGTTTTGGTAGAGGTTTTACGGCGCTCGCAACTGCATAAGGTCATATGAGTACCAGAAGATTAGAGGTGTTATTAGAAAGTAACAAACATAAAAAAGAAGAAGGGGGAGATAAGGACGATAGATGTTTGATAGGAAAGAAGAAGCAAACCACACCAGAGCACCCGCCAACCACCCATTAAGACAGACAGACACTACAAAAGGAAGTGAACAAGCAAGATCTACCAGAGATGCCCTCCACACTCACCTTTATTGACTTTGTCACAGAGGAGGAATACTTCATCCCCACCACGTGCTTTCCCCGAGGTTTTATCCACTCGGCAGATGACCAGATCTTTGGAGGACTCTGTGGGTCGGCAAAGAGCAGCCATGTGACAGTTTACTACGACAAACTCATCATCAACACAAAACACTTTTCTCAACCCTATCCGTACGCCCTGGGGTCATTTTGTACCCCCCCCGGGGTAGTTTTTTTCACATTTTGGAATACTTCCAGTACGAAGACCTCTTTGAAACTTTCTGTATTTCTCAAAAAAATCATTTTGATAGACTTCTATGCAAAACATATATGGATCGGATTAAAGAGTAAATTTCCTCTTTGAAAAGTGGTGCAACAGAGTTCCCTACGTCGTATGGATACGATAGTAAAACACGACGTACGGATAGGATTAAACAGCTCGTGTGAAACAACTCGCAGAAACCAAGCGACTTTTAACTAATCAAACAAATCTAAAAGTGTCCACAGACAAAACTTTCCACAGTTTACTTCTCCAAACTGATCATCTACACAAAACGTTTTCTACAACAGCTTATGTTAAACAGAGAAATCATTTTCAATAAGTATGGCATGTTACTTTTGTGAGTCACTTTTGTGGCATGTAACATAGCAAAGGAAAATTACTCACTGCTGTATGTAATGTGTGTTAACAAATAGAAACCTCTCACTTTTGCTGTGTGTAATAATAATAATAATAGATAGCATTTGTATAGCGCATATCCCCGCTCAACAGCAGGCTCTATGCGCTTTACACTATATTATTACCCCAGCAGACCATAGAACACTCCGAAACATTCTCAGCTTCCCGAGAAGCATACAGTGCAAGCAGCCGATTAAGCGCTCAAACACTAACAAACTGACAAGATCTTCCGCCGTCTATAGCCGGGTACCCATTCCCACCTGGGTGAAGTGAGGAAAATTCGTGTAAAGTGCCTTTCCCAAGGACACAACGTCGGGCCCCTGACGGGATTCGAACCCACGACCTTACGGTTGCGAGTCCGAGAGCCTCACTAGGCCACCAACGCCACGTGTAACGAAAGAAACCTCTCACTTTTGCTGTGTGTCATGTAAGTAACAAAAAGAAGCCAGTCACTCTTGCTGTGTGTCATGTGAGTAACAAAAAGAAGCCAGTCACTCTTGCTGTGTGTCATGTGAGTAACAAAAAGAAGCCACACACTTTTGCTGTGTGTAATGTGTGTATCAAAAAGAAGCCAGTCACTCTTGCTGTGTGTCATGTGTGTAACAAAAAGAAGCCACACACTTTTGCTGTGTGTAATGTGTGTAACAAAAAGAAGCCACTCACTTTTGCTGTGTGTAATGCGTGTAACAAAAAGAAACCTCAGTGAACAAAAAGAAACCTCTCACTTTTGCTGTGTGTAATGTGTGTAAGAAAAAGAAGCCAGTCACTCTTGCTGTGTCATGTGTGTAACAAAAAGAAGCCACTCACTTTTGTCGTGTATAGCATGGGAGCAGACAGGGGGCACCACTTTGCTCACTCTACCCTGCTCGTTGGACAGGAACACTTGGAAGCAGAGCCGGACCACGTTGAGATCTATGTTGGACTGTGAGTGGTCGAAGCCCGCTGAAACAAAAAAAACAAGATACTTATTTTCATAGGAGTACAACTGGCCATTTAAAAATAAAAGTTCAACACTGTAAGCTAATCTAAGACCTGGTATCCATGAATTTAAAAATGATAATTCTAACAGGACCGAGCTAAATAGACGGAGAGACTACAAAAGACGGCAAAACAACCTGATTTAAAAACATCTCATTTGGAAATTGAACCTGGGTCATCCGCACCACAACCCCGGCTCAATACCGAGTTGGCGTCCCGTTACGTCATCCACTATTGGCTATGACAAAAAATGGGTCACAAAGACTACCTTGTAAGAAACACGACAAAGCAATTCAGATTAAAAGAAAGAGCCTTGCTTCTCCTTTGGCTACAATTTCAGCTGACAGCGAAAACTCAGTAGGCCAATACCTTCATAAAATTTGACACCAAATCAAAAACGAGAACTTTCAATGGCTGCTACTTCTTTAACAAGGGTCCAACGACCATCCTACTACAAAAGCTCTCTTCAAGACTACTGCCACGATTACTACCAGTACGGTACTTTAAAAGCTTTCACTCACTCTGGAAAGGGTCGACATTAATGTCTTTCCGGAGGCGCAAGGCCCCCTCTACATCCTTTTTCTTGGCACACTGGATCCCAATGTTGGGGAATCTGAAAAGGGAAAAAAAAAAAATCACAAGATGAAAGTAACACAAATTCTATGGAGAATTATAGGTTGTTTGTTTTTTCTTAAAATAGCAAATATTTAAGAATTAGTTCATTAGCAAAGCCAGATGATTTTTTTCAAAATCATTTTTCTCCTGTGCTGATAGGTTAATGTGATAGACACTGGTGTGCAGATGACAACCCTTTTGGAATTTTGAAAATTGGTGAATAAATGACTTTTTAATGAATTTTTCTTCGTCTTTAAAAAAAAATTTTTGCACTTAAGTTTGACCTCTTCTCTGATCGTTTGCCAAGTTTGAAGACTATGACATCATCTTCATATCTTAATCATAGCTCAAAGAGGGTCCCATTCTCGACATGCGGCGATGGTCGGGATCAGCTTTGCCAAGTTCATACAAACTTAACTTATATTGTGCATTCCACAAACCACAACATAAAGTGCAGACAAGTTTTTATAAACCCCATCAAACAAAAAGCTCATATAATAAAAACTTTTAGCAATACTAATGGCTCAAAAAAAAAGAAAAGCTCTTCAATACTCTTAAAACGTTCCTTTAACTCTGTTCCCACTAGTAAAATTCTAACTGTTTTTGACAGATAAAAATGCACCCCTTTAAGTTAGAACTGATTTGTGGTAGAATGAGAAATAAAACACACAAAATTTTCTCAATACACCTCGACAACTGACATGCAAAAAACAACAACAAAAAAACAACCAATAAATCATACACAATTTTCTCTAAGCTGGCTTGAGAAAAGACGAACGATAAAACATACACAATTTTCTCGCTGGTATCCTTGACTCTGAGGGTGCAGACGCCTTTCTTACAGTCGCGTCCGACAATAGCGTGTGGGTGTGGCTTACAGTGAGGTGGGTTCTCTTTGGTCACACAAGACACCACGATGATGGCCGCTCCTGAGTAATTGTGAATCTGACACACGACACAGAAAGAAAAATTAATTTGTTTCGATAAGGTGAAGCACGCTGACACAATAACAGACATTTTGAGCAGGAAGAAGAAGTTCCATTTCGAGTTTAGTTTAGTTTCAGTAAAAAGCAGCACATCAACAATAACAGATGTGTAGATCATGACAGAAGAAAGACAGACAGACAGAATAAAAGGTAGGAAAGAAACCAAGCAGAACAAGTGGTGCCCTTCAACTATCCACAGCTAAATTAGTCTTCACACATACAAAAAAATGACATAGCATACAAAGAAAGAGAACTGATGACATAAAAACAAACACAACAAACGATAACGTTACTAGCCGAACAGAGTAAGAAGCACTTATCTCAACAAGGCAAATGCAATCAATGGCTACGAGAACCACCCACCTCGACATGATAAGGCAGTAAAATGTCATACCTATGACACAGGGCTTAGAATATGCCTGGCATTGTGAGTTTACACATTAACAAATGCAAGACATTCGGTTGGAAACATTTGAGATAAGGCATATATATATATGTGTCTGTATAAAACGAGTCCAAATTTACAAAGAGCAAATATGACAATGGTTATAACTTCTCAAGAAAAAGGATAGGAAAAAAAGTTACACTGAATGGGAGAAGAGCCCACAAAAGCATCCAGCCACCGTCCATATATTTGGACATTTATAAAAGAAGTCGTTTATGGTGGCATACAACGAAAAAAAATGACAATTTAAGACAAAATTAACTCGGTATGAGCTGGCGACGCCACAATCATGAGCCATACCTTGATGGTGGGATACGTTCTGTGGTCATTGGTGCTGTTCTCTCCCGGCACACTGCCCGCCGAGCGACCTTCACATTCATAGCGAAATCGAAGCCCTCTGGACTTGGGCTGCTCTAAGATCTCCACCCACGGCTCTTCACTGGCAGGCTGCTGTGGGGCCCGGGCCGACGGTTCTATAGGTGGGTGGGTGAAGCCTGCTGCCCCCACCCCGCGCGGATAAGACATCGAAAAGTCAGCCATTGGCTCTGTCTCTTGGACGGGATAATAGTCTGTCAAAAAGAAGGATGATGGGGGAGGGGAAAGGAAAGTTGCATTTTAATATCAAACACATACCCTGTTAATTCATGAAGACAGCACCAGGCAGACAGTGGTCACGTAAGATTTCATTATCATTGACTTTCTCATCATGCATCATGGTATAAGCCACCGTCTAAGATTTTCCATTTTTTCCTACCCTGGCTATCCTTTTGCAATTTCTTAAAAATCAACCATACTGGTCTATTTCAAACAGTCATTATTTGTGTATTGAAGAACCAATTTAGGCAAAAAATTATATTGCCAAATAAACTCAGGGAGGTGATGGCTATTTAAATCTCCATACAAGCTCCAATATGCCACTGGAATTTTAAATAACCTCGTGGCGTGTTTTTGAGTTGATTCTTTGGACGTCCAGTTCAACACTGAGTTTCAACTGTTCGATTGTTTGTGGTTAAAGGACAAAGTTTGGAAGAACGTGGTGACCATTCATTTGTAAACTTTTGACCTACAAGGCATTCCCTAAACCTTTCATATAACCACACAAGGGCCACAAGACATCTGGGGTGCTGCCCCATCCCACTAGAACCAGGCCTCTACAGGATAACACCTCTTCTCCTGCCCAAACTTCTCCAACACTTTCTCAGCACAGTCAGACATCCAACTGATGTGACTCTCGTAGTTTTACTGTCCTTGTCCTGAAACCAGAACGGGCTCATCACAACCCTGTAGCTGAACATTTTTAAGAAGGGAAATTTTGCGCTTTACCCAATTTTGGCAGAAATTTTCAAAACTTGATATTTCATAGAGGCGCATGGATTATCTTCATATTTGCAAATATTATGTCCCCTATTTGAATTTCATTTGTGCGAAGTTTTGCTTACATTAGTGCACTAATGACCGATTTATTGCCCTTTCAGCGGTTCCTCTTTCTTTGTAGGCACCCTGTACAAGAAAAATCTCAGTACAGCATCTTTGAGCGACCACAAGGTGTTATATTTTACAAATCAACTGCCAGCTTACTCAGGACTTCAAGGGTTTGAAACTAGGTACAATCCTAAAAACAGATGACTATTACTGGTGGCAAAAAGAATTTGACTTACAGAATTAGGACAAAAAGCTACATTCAGGGTAAGAAATGAATTAAACAATGCAAGGGTACTTTATAAAGCTTCCTTTGATCTAATCTAAATTCAGTCCTGGGTGTAAGTCAACAGTGTGTCCTTCAACTACAATTTGGAATCATGTGCCCAGTTTGGGAGGGTATGACCGTTTCTGATTTCAATCATTTACTCTCCATGTATACTTTTAAAAAAAAGCAGGATGACAAAATAGCTTGATTCAGCAACAGATCCTAAAACAAAAGAAATCTCTGTACATCGTGGTCCATCTCAGTCATAAAAGAATTACAGACGACAAAATGGGTGGTTGGTGGGTGTTCAGGCGAGGTTTGCTTCTTCTTTCCTATCAAACATCCATCATCTTTATCTCGCCTCCTTCTTTTTTATGTTCGTTACTCTCTTGTAACACCTCTAATCTTCTGGCGCTCATACGACCTCATGCAGTTGCGAGCACCGTAAAACCTCTACTAAAACAAACAAACAGATGACAAATGAACCAGTGCAACCGCCCACCCCTCTCCACACCACCAGCAGCAGGGTTCCCCGAGCCAGCTCATCATGGCTCCTCCCACCAGCAGGTCTCACTTACTTTGCCCATGGTTCTCGTGGCCCTGCTGGGCCTGCGGCTGCATCTGCATGAAGATCTGACCAGCCGTTACATCATCCAAACCCTGTACAATACGAGCGATCTCAGTGCTGCTCATGTTCTGGATGTCATCAAGGTCAACACCTGAGGGACATAAAATAGTACACATTACACATTACAAAATATAACTCAATATTTTCATAAATTTATTCATGTGCCATGCCATCTGAAGTTCAATCTAAAGTAAGAGGTCAAATCCTACTGAACATATAAATATATATTATTATATTGTACTATCTATAACAACATATATATAACACACACAAACTTCTCACCGAGAACTCGTCTTAGCATGTTGAAGACCCACTACTGTAGACATTATTTACAAGAAATCTCAAGTCTCATTTAAGCAACCTTAATTTACTTTGCATGATTAAAAAATCTCATGGGCAGAGAAGTTATTATAAGATCTGTGCAAAAACAAAAAAGCCTAAAAGAATACAGAAAGTCTGAGGATGCAAAGTTAATGAAAAACAATTATAAGGCCTAAATGTTTCTCAAAATTTACACCCCCCCCCCCCAAAAAAAAACCCCCCAAAAAAAAAAACCCAACAAAAAACAATTTAGTCCTATACTGTATTTTAAAAATTAAGTTCTCGCAAGATCTCCTCCTCCTCTCTCTCCCTGTCTCTTTCTGAATGCTGCCTATCGGTGTGGACGATCAAATTGACAAAAACAAAGATAAAATATACAAAAGTAAATTAATTTGGTCGTCTACAAAGATGCTACGGCTACGGCTATTTAACTTTTCAAATCGAGCCGAACTATGCGGGTCGCCATTTTGTTTTGCCCGGAAGTTCTCGAGCTACTCCTTTCCCCACCCCCGCCTCTCTCTTTCTCTCTCACTGCCCACAAACAAAATTGCACGCTTCCAACACAAGAGCGCTGGAACGTTTATTCACAGTGAACGCTACACTGGTTGGCCTAGGCTATCACGGTGAACGCACACCGGGTGAAAATAGCCAAACGGCTCGCCTGCGCTATTCTCACACAGGGTGAGAATAGAGGTGGCCTATTCTCACCCCGGGTGAGAATAATGTTATATTTTTATGGAGTGTCTACATACACGGTAACCGGGCACCTAATCTCAGTATCTACGTACACGGTAACCGGGCACCTAGTCTCAGTATCTACGTACACAGTAACCGCAATGAAAATACAGGTAAATCAATTGCCCTGTGCTGTCACTTGCTGGAAAAAAAAAAGAAAGTCATACAAGCGTCTTGTTGGGCTCGCCATCGTGACCAGTCAGTGAACCTGCGGGTAAGAATGAAGAATACCGGACCAGCGGACTGACTTTGCCTATGTCTCAACCTTAGGAATTCATAATTTTCCCGTTTTTAACATCTCTCAATGGAGAATCTCGGACCAGTAGATCTATTCATTAAAGTTTTGTCTGGGGGGAGACCCCCCTGAACCCCCCTCCTCCACCCCAACCACCCGCCCCACATTCTCGAGCAATAATGTACGAGTGGTCCGGTATTCTTCAATCTTCCCAACCTGCGCATGTGCATCACATTGTGAGTACCGGTTGGGGTCATCAAAGTTCATTCAAAGCCTGTGCGCTACGAAGTATAGGGCTCCGGAACGGGGGGATTGTTTTTTTAAAGGTACAGCCGGGGGAGGAGTGGGGATGAAGGCAACACTGGATGACAAAAACTGAACTTGGAGTTCTGAACTGCCCGGTTACCCTGTACGTGACACTGAGACTACATGCCCGGTTGCCGGTTACCGTGTACGTAGACACTGAGGCTAGGTGCCCGGTTACCGTGTACGTAGACACTCCGATATTTTTATTTTCACCCCGGGTGAAAATAAAGACAGCCATTATTACTATGCCATGCTATGTATGTTATTTAGTGCTAGATCTAGTCTAGTGTCAGGCCTAGGCTAGGTCTACCTGTTCTCAACACCCAGGAGATGAGAATAAAATCTACGAGCCTAGAATCTGTAATTCTATTGTATTCTCAGACCAGGTGAGGAGTAACAATAATAATAATAGCCTAGAATCCTAGATCTAAATCTAGATCTAGAATCTAGTAGATCTAATTATTATTCTGCGGGTGAGAATAGCCACTTCCAAAATGGATAGCCTACTATTCTCACCCGGTTGAGAATAATGACAGCCCTAGCTTCTGCACAGAGCCCTTCTCAGCCTTCTGCACCGCAGTTTGAATCGTTTCACTTTGATCTGACATGATATTCTGTCTTGCTATTATGGATCTAGAATCTAGTATATATATAGATCTAGATTAGATCTAGATCTAGATCTAGTAGATATCTAGATCTAGACTAAACACTTGAAGAAAAAAAAAAACACCACCAGTGGATTATCTGGTGGGAAATGCCATTATAACCAAATAATAATAGATCTCTACAACTACAACTACAATGCAATCTAACTAGCCTAAGATCTGTGTCACAGGAAGATTATCAAGTGACATGACGCCAGAACTAAACTTATGAGATGAAGAGCAAGATTGGTGGTGAGAAAATTGGAGAGGGAAGTGCCACAAATAACTGACTTTAGCCAGAAGGAATTAATTATCAAAAGTAGCAGTAACAGTATGTTTTAACATGGCGTGAAACATGAAAAAAAATGCAGCAGTCAACCTGATTCGTGGTTGTTGTAATGATCACCTCTAGTTAATGACAGCAACTGCTTGCCTGCTGAATAACAGGACAACATGGCGGTTTGTCAACAAGTGTGTTATGTGGAGGACAGCAAGAATCTTGTCATCCTTTGCCAGGAATTTTGGACTTAAATCTAGATCTACCTGTCAGGCGATGACTACAGTACGACCAGAATTCAAACTTACCGTTATCCAAACCACCATGTGACATAGCCATTTTCAGAATACACCCAAATAGAAACGCTTCAAATCGCCGTGTGATAAAACTAGGCAATGTACGCCATTTTCGTGTGTACTTTGTGAAATCCCAAGTTGTTCTGATTCCAAAAATAATCTTGGGGGAATTGCCTGGGCAATGACATTCTCTGATTGGACCACAAAATTCCACTAGATGTCTCTCGCGTTCGGCACTACTTTTGTTAGGATTTTATTGGCGATCAAAATGAGGACGCCGCTTGGGGGCGCAATTACACACTTACATCATAGTCTATATTTAGAAGAAGGAATTTCCAGGTCCCAGTCTCAGTCTTCAACCGAACACTTCCTAGTTTTTGCTTCAACTATTCGACTGGCTAGACCAGTGCTAGACTATCACATCTGAATTTAAAAATAGTCGAGTACAATAACTTGGAAAAACCTTTTTAAAATCTATAAACTCAACTAGCAAGACCAGTCAAGTCTATTTGATTATGCGCAGGGTAAACGCAGTCTATCGTCGCTTTTCTTGGTGATTTGGGTTCCGTTTCAGGTGAATTTTCATTGGCCTTCACTTGGGCTATTCAAAATAAGTACATAATGTATAATATTATAGAGCGAAATACGGAGCTAATTCGGGATTGGTTTCCTTATACCTATAACGTCTTAATAAGTAGTTATTACGAGCTTCTAAATAAATTAAAATGAAAAGGCTAAGCATGTTAATTGTTCCCTTTGTCCTTTCTCCTCATATCGCCCCCACAATTAATGTTTATCGACACACCAAAGATCAGGTTGCGGCGCAGCGCTTTTCCCTTTCGTCAACCCGCAGCCACCTCCCAATCGTCAGCCACCCCCAAACTTTGACACGGGTCAAACTTCCATCTATTTATAGGTAGTTACCGGAACATGTATAGGTGAAGTGTTGTGCCGTGATAGTCGCGATATATTATTTATTGAGATTGTTTTGGTCTCTCTTTACTCATCACCACGAGAATTTCTTGAAGTTTTTCCCTGGACTCTGCCTTTGCTAAAATCTCGAATCTAGATCTAGATCTAGATCTAAAGTTGTAATCTAGTGGCAGGTTGCAGATTTCTGTTGTTATCCAGTACATTCCAGAGATTAAATAAATTGGACTAGACTCTAGTAGTAGACTCTTCTTCTTCTACTTCTAAACCTTCGAGATTACAAAGGCCAAGCCTAGGCTTGTAAGGATTCGTTTTGTTAAGAGTGTTGTTTAACACAAAGTCTAAGAAGTTAGCAAACCTAACACATTGTTTTCTAACGAAATGATGCTTAAATTGACTTTTATATTGTCAATAAGAGATCAAGTTTAATCACCTAATCATTTAAGTAAGGAAGTGGCTATTGCTATCCTCGCCCGGGGTGAGAATAAAACCCCTACGATTGACCTCTCACCCCGGGTGAGACTTGCCAGCGTTGGCTATTCTCACCCAGTGTGAAACAAGACCTGTTTTTCCTAATTTCGAAATACTTTCTATCTGTGTGGATGATCAAACTGACAAAGGCAAAGAAAAAAATGACGTTATAGCACAAAAGTAAGCTAATTTGATCGTCTACAAAGATGCTATGGCTTTCACTTTTCGAATCGACCGAACTACGCGGGTCACCATTTTGTTTTGCCCGAAAGTTCTCGCAAGATCTACTCCTCCCCCTTCTCTCTCTCTCTCTCTCTCTCTCTCTCTCTCTCTCTCTCTCTCTCTCTCTGTCGGCAATTTATTAAATCTGCAACCTGCAATTAGATTACAACTAGATCTAGATTCGAGACTTTAGTAAAGGCAGAGTCCAGGGGAAAACATCAATTAAATTCGTGTGGTGCAGATGAGTAAAGAGAGACCAAAACAATCTCTCTATTGCGACTATCATTGCACATCACTTCGCCTAATACATGTTCCGGTAGATTTAACTACCTATAAATAGATGGAAGTTTGACCCGTGTCAAAGGTTGGGGGTGGCTGACGATTCGGAGGTGGCTGCGGGTTGACGAAAGGGAAAAGCGCTGCGGCGCACTCAATTACTTAGGCCTAGTTCACAATTCGAGGGCGATTAGGCTAATTTATGAATAGTCCTGTAGGCATTTCTGTCACTCTCGTATGCCACTACAGATTTATTGACCAGTCGGCTTTAAACAACACCATTAAGATAACGCAGTTTTTGTTTTATTTTGTTCTGTTCTCTTTTCTGTATGTCTTTCTTCTTTTTTTTTTCACATTGTTCATTCCTGAGCCTGGCCACAGACCTGGTCAGGGGCTCGACGTGGTCGAGAGGTTACGGTGTTCGCCTCTCATCTAATAAGTTTCGGGGTCGAATCCGGATAGCGAGGTAATTTTTCTTCTCTAAAACGGTCTCCTTTCACTCGGCCACTGCTCTCTAACAATGTTCTGTCGTCTGCTTTTGTCTCCACTAATTTCTGGCCCCACCCCCTCTCACCTCTGCTCTTCGATGAGCTCCTGGCTCTTTGTGCAGCCTTATCAGCTATAGCTCCTTGGTTCCTTCTTACTGCTGACTTTCAGCCACACCCCTGATCTTATGGTAAGATGTATTTATAACACCTAGCCTTCTCGGATAAGGGCAAAAAATCTTGGAGGCCCCGTGTGCAAGTTGCGAACGTTAAAGATCCTTTGGCAACTCAAAATAAATAAGATAGGCTTCGGCCGCCACCCGGGCAAAATTCAAAAATTAATTGTATATCAACTGAAGCTCTAGACTTTTAGTGTGTCTCTCGCGCTCATATGACCGTATGATGGCGAGCGACCCCCCCCCCCCCAAAAAAAAAAACAACAAACAACAACAACAAAAAAAACAAAAACAACAACAACAAACAAACAAAACCCCCCCCCCAAAAAAAAACACAGCAAAAACAAAAAAACCAACAACAAACAAACAAACAAACAAAAAAACAAATTAAAAAGAATAAATAAATAAATAGATAAATAATAAATAGATACAAATTTTAAAAATAAAACAAAACAAAGCAAAAACCAAACAAACAAACAAAACAAAAGACTTCTGATCTAAGCTTAAATAATAGCTAAATGTCTTCAGCCTTTACACCAGAACGTGGAACAAGTTATATTTTAACCTACTAATTGTATCGGTAGGCCTGTCGTAGAGTGAGGAATGGAAAAGGGGGTGGGCGGGGACGAAATTATTGGATTCATACTATTCATTCATACCTGCTTAGCTTTCTGTTTCTTAACAGAGAAGTCAGAGGACATAAATCCCTGTGAAATGTAGGCCTGTACTTTTCTCGGGTGTTTTGAGTTTTCTGCCAAGCTAAGGTGTAGTGATATTAAAGTTATGATTAATGGAATTGTTTTGTTTTAGTAAGTGTTATACGGCACTTGCAACACAATAAGGTCATATATAAGTGCCTAAGATTAGAGGTGTTACAAGAGAGTAGCAAACAAAAAAATAGAAGGAGGAGAGATAAGGACGATAGATGTTTGATAGGAAAGAAGGAGCAAACCACACCAGAGCACCCACCAACCACCCAGCTTGATTGAATTAATATTTCAGTAGAACAGACTACTAAATACTATATACACACTTTGTTTGTTGATGTTATTGTTGTTGTTGTTGTTGTTGTTTTGGTTGTTGTTGTTTTTTCAATTCCATGTATTCTTAGATTCACCCCCCCCCCTGTTTTGTCTTCGTTTTGCATGTCCGTTGGTTTGTTATTATTGTTATTGATAGTTAGGCTACTTATAAAAGGGGGGTGGGGGTAGACAGGTATACTCAGTGTACTGATGGAAATAACAAAACCAAAGATTAGTCTTTTTAATTAATTTATTTTTAATGTGGCCAATGCATGCAGCAGATAAGTGCTAATAAAATTGGACCTATACATGTCAGGATTTCTCTTTTAAAAATCCCACAGCAGGCCTAATCACGTAACCTGACCTTCTTTTCTTTAGCCTGCGAAGTTAGTCCCGGGGGGGGGGGGTGCGACAGGGTCTATCATTCGATCACGATAGTAATATTTGTGCGTGTGACTACATAAAGAAATAAGGGCCTTATATAAATTATGTCTGTCTATATATACGGTATGATATATTAATAGCCTATCTATCTATCTATTTATTTATCTATCAATCTATCTATCTATCTATCTATCCATCCATCCGTCCATCCATCCATCCATCCATCCATCCATCCATCCATCCATCCATCCATCCATCCATCCATCCATCCATCCATCCATCCTTTCCAGAGAGCAGTAAACCACAGCTGTAACTATACGACTCAAGAAGAGGCGCATCCATCTGTCCGTCCGTCCATCCATCCGTCCATCCATGTATCCATCCATCCATCCATCCATCCATCCATCCAGAGAACAGTAGATGACAGCTGTAACTATACGACACAAGAGGAGACGTCACCACCAGGCATTACGCGTGTAGACCCCGGGCAAATATTTGACGTGGGTGTTTGGCGGGTGCTCTGGTCGTGTGGTTTGCTCCTTCTGTCCTATCAAACAACTACTGTCGTCCTTATAAAGCCCTCTTCGTCTAATCTCTTCTTTTGTAAGATACTCTGAAGTAACAACCTCTTACTTAGGGCACTTATAATATGACTTACTTATGTTGCATTTGCCGTAAGACTCTTACTTTGTATTAACTAAAGTGGATGGTTGGCGGGTGCTCTGGTGTGGTTTGCTTCTTCTTTCCTATCAAACATCTATCGTCCTTATCTCCCCTTCTTCTT